TGGGGGCTTTGTGGTGGGAGAGGGCTGTGGCCTGGGGGTTGGCCAGGAGGAATAATCTCCATCTCTCTGTCTCCCACTGGGGGTACCTGCTGGCTCCAGGGCACAGAGAAGGACGGAGACCGCATCTGGGAACACATGGGGAAGATGCAACATGTCGGCCTTGTCTGTGTTTTTTAGGCATCTGCCTTTGGAGGCTCTTGGACCCGCAGTTAGGAAGTCTCCCGTATGGGAAGCCCTGCTGGCTGCCCACCCCAGGGATGGCAGATGGGGAGCCGATGGCCACCATGGCCAGCGGGCCTGCCTCACAGCAGACCATTGCATGCTGAATTGGTGTGGCCATGGGCCCTGGGTTTCTTTTGCATTTTAATTCTGGTGTTGTGTTGTTTATAGCCATATACTGTAAAGAATACAGCTATAGACAGACAAAGCATGGGTCTGTTGTGTTTTACTGCAGGTGGCTGTACTCTGTCAAGTTATTTCTGAGTCAGGCCTAAGTTGAGGTGCCCAGTACAGAGCCTTTAGTCAGTGCAGGAAGAGAAGGGTACTTTCCCCAAACTGGAGCACTTTGTGTAGCAGGGTGGTTGACTTTGAGAAGGAAAGATGAAAAAGAAGGAACTTTCAGCCATCCTCCCTTCCCCAGCTCTCCCTCCTCTAGAACATCCCAGAACTGAGTGAGTTGCTCCTGCTGTGTTTAGAGCCGGGTCTTTGGAGGGCAGGTGCTCATGTCTGGGCAGAGCGCTGTCCCAAGGAGGCCACCCAGGGCTTCATAACCAAGCCCCTGGGGGCGTTTGGGGTTAGAGAATTCTTGGCTGTGGGGCTGTCTGATGCCCTGCAGGATACTTAGCTGTATCCCTGGCTTCTACCCACTAGGTGACAGCAGCCCCTTCCCGCCCCCATTGTGGCAGCGAGAGATGTCTCCAGGCATTGCCAGATGTCCCGGGGGCCCAGTTGTCCACAGCTGAGACAGTGGGGCCAACAGGCAGGCCCCTTCACCGGGGGCCTGTTACAGTTTTTAGTGTTGCCTGATTTCAGAAGTGATCCTGAAGGGCCAGAGACCTCTCAGTGGTAGGTATATTGGTGTAATGTTTTACCCAGTACACTTTCTAAGTTAGTTCAGGAAAATTTGTCCACGGAGACAAGTAATTTCTAGCCCAGATTATTAAAGATGTTGAGGAAAGGGACAGCTTGATCTGTAGGTCAGGCTAGGTGAAAGGGTCTTGTTTGTCTGGAGCACAATGGTGTTGAGCTGTGGTGTTGTGTCCTGCACGTGCCCCGGGTTGCCGTGCAGGGACCTGGTAGTGGGAAGGGCAGTCTGAGCAGGACCAGAGCCTCGCTGGCAGCCGTTCAAAGCGGGTTACAGAGTCTAGTTATGCAGCGCAGGCCTGGAAGGTCATGGGAGGCAGTTGGCTGCTAGTGCCATGGGTGTCCCCAGTGAATCAATCAGTGGAGGTGACCCAGCACTTCACGTGCTCCTTAGAGAAGTGATTTGTCCTCAGATGGTGGGCGGCTCTCGCACGGGAATCCCCAATCCCGTGTCCTCTGGTTGTGGGCAAGGCTGAAAGCAGCTGTTCTGTCCCCAGTGCCAGAGGATGCCCCGCGGGGGATACCTCTGGAGTGGCGCCGGGGGATGGGGTGTGGGCAGGCTGGCTTGTGCCCACAGTGCTGCTCTGTCAGGGCTGCCTGGCCACTGATGAGCCCCTGAGGACCTACTAGGGTGACGTGGGTGTCATGCCTCCTTGCAGCAGTGATGGGTGGGTCCAGCAGCCAGACCCCACAAGTCCGCAGTTGAACTTGGCACAATCCAGTACTAGAGGTGGCAGACTGTTGCAGAGGGTCTCTGGCCATGACGCCCGAATCTTATTCCTCTCGTAGTCCCTAACCTGCCTGAGCTGTTTGTTACAAGGAGAGGGTATCCCTGCCCCGCGTGCAGCTTGCGGGAGATCCAGTCCTTTCCACATTCTGCGTGTGTCCGGGGCTGTTTTAGGCACCACAGGTCCAGCAGTGAACAGACAAGGCCCCTGTCCTCAAGATGCTCCCAGCTGACAGCACGCTGGGCGAGGGCCACTCAGGTGTGTTGGCGAAAGGCAGGGAGGGGTCCAGGAGGGGCTGCCCTGGCAGTCAGGGCTGGTGTTGCTGAGCAGGCGACCTTGAAGCCAGCCCTCAAAGGGGCGGGTCCAAGAAGGGGGTGTGATGGGAGGGCCCCTGACAAGTCCCGTTCTCGGGAGCGTACAGTCAGATCTCAGGTGATGGTGGCTTCCCGAGAGATGAACACCGACTGTGCAGCATCAACTGTGGAAAATGCTCTGTGTCTCAGCATGAACTTTACCCTTTTCCCTCTTCTCATCAGCCAGGGCCAACTCGTTTGTAGGAACAGCCCAGTATGTTTCTCCAGAGCTGCTCACAGAGAAATCGGCCTGTAAAAGGTAACCTGTTTTCATCTGATCCATAATTCTCTTTTCTCTAAAGTAGTTGGTATTTTTTTCAGGTGAAATTAATAGTTAAGAGAGTGCCTTTCATGGCCTTTACATAGCCAAGCCTACTTTGGAAGAAGTTAGCCATTTGTCTTTTAACCAGCATCTTTCCTTTGATAACCTGTGTGCTACTTTGTTACTACTTATACTTCCTGGGGTGGTTGTTGCTTTTATGCTTCGAGATTTGATCTTGTTCCTTCAGGAAAAACTAAACAACTAACTATTCAGTGGGGAGTACTGTGGCCGACAGGTCTGTATTAGTGACACGAGGCTTCCTGCTGTGTCCCAGAGCCCCGGGACCGTTGGTGCCATGGTGCCACCTCCGGCTCAGGCACCCTGGCTGTGGCAGCAGCTGCAGGTCAACTGTTCAGTGTAACGTGCTCTGCAGAGTACAGGACAGGCCCAGAAGGCAGCGTCTGTGGGAAGGGACAGGACTGGGCCAGTTTCCCAGCAGGAGCCCTGCCAGCACTACAGGGGGCAGGCCCAGTGGTGGCCACAGGATTGAGAGCCTTGGTGGAGTCCTCAGTTGTGAAAATGAGAAGTGCAGGGGGTGGGATATTGTGTTCACAAGAGTGGAGGTCCAGAGAGTGGAGAGGGTCAGTGGCAGGGCAGTTGGGCAGTGGAGGTAAAGCAGGTGGGGGTGACGATGGCCAGGAGCTGGGAGAAGTCTGGGTGGACATGAGGCAGGTAGAAGACAGAGAGGCGGCAGTAGAACCTAGGCTTTCAGAGTTTGGAGATGACAAGTTCTGTGGTTGAAGCTTTTCTTTGATTCTTCCTGCCCTGAGCCAGACACTCAACCCACTGGGACCATCGCTGGAGCTGACAGAGGCCCACACGGTCAGTGTTGTGCACTGGCAGGCTGCCAGGGGCCACCTTCCTAAAGTGACAAGCGACTGCCAGGGCAGCAGAGGAGTGATGGTTCTTGGTACAGCAGTTCTGTGTTTCTGAGCCTGATGGCTTTTTAAAACCTCTTTAGGGGGTGGAGCCACAGGGCACAAACATGATGGTTGGAAGTATATTCAGAAAAATTAAGCTTGGGCATCTTAGCAGTTGCTGGGCTCTTTGGGCTTTTTTTGTTTTTGTTTTGCTTTTTGTTTTCTACTCTTATTGAACCAACAGACTTTGAGCTCTCACTGTGGGCCAGATGCCGTTGTAGGTCAGGACTTCCCAGCTGGGACAGTTCTGCTCGCCAGGGGACATCTGGCCATGTCTAGACACAGTTTTGGTGTCCCAACTTGGCGGGGGTGGGGAGGGAATGGGTGGAGCCAAGGGCGCTGCCCAACATCCTACAGTGTAGAAATGGCCCCCCAGCTAGAATGACGGGTCCCAGATGCCCACAGGGCCCAGGCTGAGAGACCCTCCTCCAGGTGGTGGGTGCACTGGGCCAGATTCTCCAAGTGTGTGTCACTGCTGCCTAAGAACTAGCTTTTCCTCGAGTTGGGGTTTACTTTCAGGAAGAGGAATTCCTTTCGTACTAATGGAGGAAGGTCTCCAGGCTCTACTGAGTGAGAGAAGGAAGACACAGAGTGGCCACCCAGAGTCACTTGTCTGTGCATTTAAACCTCGAGAAGGATATACAAGCCATGGCTAACTGGTTATCTGTGGTGGGGGTAAGGGTTAGGGCTGTGAGTGAGACCTCACTGGGTGCCTTTTTATGCTTTTAATTTTTAAAGTCATGTGATATTTAAAAAATAGTTAAGAATTTTTTTCCTGATTCTAAAAATGATACTTATTCATTATAAAGAATTCTTAGAAAATATGGAGAATAATAAAAAAAAAAAGTAGGGAGTTTCCTGGTGGTCTCACGGTTAGGATTCGGCGCTTTCACTGCTGAGGCCCAGGTTCAGTTCCTGGTGGGGAGCCAAGATCCCACAGTCCGGGTGGCCAAAATAAAACAAACAAACAATAAAAGCCAAAAAAACACTCATAGTCTCCAACCCACTTGTAGTCACAGATAATGATTTGGTATGTCTTTCTTTCCAGCTACTTTTTTCTCTGTTTTAAATGTGTTTCCATAATTTTTATACAACTGGAATCATACTGAATAACCAGTTTTGAATCCTGCTCCCTGTGATTATATGGTGAACATTTCCCCATATCACTAACATTATTGGCAGAAATCTTTTAACAGCTGTGTGATTTTCCAAGATATGAATTCATTGTAGTTCATTGAGCTTTTCCTTTACTGTTAAAGACATTGAAGTAGTTTTCATACATTGGGCACAACCTGGTGTGCCTCTACGTGCGGCATGCCCTGCGCTGGGGAAGAAGGGCCCTCCTGCCTGTTCAGCTGGAGAGTCTCCCAGGGATGCCCCACGTTCCTCTTTGAATTTCAAGAAGTAGAGTGACTTGGTTTAACTGAGCATTTAAAAAATCATCGGTGCATACTGCTTTCCAGAAATGTTACACTGGCTTCCCCCTTTAGTTTTCATTGTATTAAAAAACATTTTAAATGGCAAGATACCTGTGGAAAGTTAGCCCAGAAGCCGTTCTGCTGGCAGTCCCACTCCCTGGAGATGACCTGTGAAAGCAGCAGAGGTAGCCCCACCCCACAGCTCTGCCCCTCCTCTCTGGCCACTGCCACATGGAAAGGCCGATACTTTTCTGTTGGCGTTTTTCTCTTGTAGCTCCCCATTTTAACTACACTAAACAGCAGAGAAAACCAAGTGTAAGAACTAGTTACTGAGTAGAATGTACGTTCATTTTTAACACGCCCTTCACTCCATCTGTGTGTTGTGACTCAGATTTCTGATCTGTGGCATTTTTCACCCACATCAAGTGCTTCATCTACCCCGGGCCAACAGTGCTGTGATATGGGTCCGAGGACAGAGCCTTCACCCAAGGCCCCCAGCACTGTAATTGACCTGTTGTCTCCACCCACGACCTACGATTTCATCTTCCAGAATGCCAAGCTGTGGCCTCTTCCAGAAACTGACTATCCAGCAACGCATGAGCCCTCCGTACATTTAGGGCTTGCGGGGAGGTAGTTGGCCGTGCAGGGCAAGTTGTGTCTTGATGCTTTCGTAGGGCTGAGCTGGGAATAGAATGCAAGATTTACAGAGGAAATAAACTATGGAAAGTAGTTCTCAGCCATGAACTCTGAGATGCACTGAGGGGAGAGAAAAAACAGGAGCAGGAGGGAAGGAGGGTGGTGGGCAGAGCAGCCCCTCCAGGGTCCCTGCCAGCTGGTTCTGGAAAAGACTTAGGGAAATTCAGAACCGTAGTGTGTTTCCTTTAAAATGTATAATTAAGGGCTTCCCTGGTGGCGCAGTGGTTAAGAATCTGCCTGCCAATGCAGGGGACACGGGTTTGAGCTCTGATCTGGGAAGATCCCTCATGCCGCGGAGCAACTAACCCCACGTGCCACAACTACTGAGCCTGTGCTCTAGAGCTGCAAGCCACACTACTGAGCCCGCGTGCCACAACTACTGAAGCCCGCGCTCCTAGAGCCTGTGCTCCGCAACAAGAGAAGCCACTGCAACGAGAAGCCTACACACCGCAATGAAGAGTAGCCCCCACTCGCTGCAACTAGAGAAAGCCCATGCACAACAACGAAGACCCAATGCAGCCAAAAATAAATAAAAATAAAAATTTTAAAAATGTATAATTAAAATGTTCATAAAGGAGGGGCAGGGCTTTGCACAGTGAGTCCAAGAAGGGAA